TTCAAAATTGTTTTCTTTGTGTTTGTGGGTTTTGAAAAAGTTTTTGTTTTAACTTCGATTTAACTCTTGCTTCTGTCCTCAAGAGTGTAATGAAGTGTTTTTGAAAACTTGTCTGTAAAAGTGTAAGTGTGAAAAATTTTGTTTTGAAAGAGCAAGTACTTAAGAACTAATCTACCTACTCGAAAAAGGAATTGTTCTATGTTTGTTTCCTTTAGATAATGCTATCCCACTATTAGTGAGTAGGTAACACCGTCGTTGGAGTTTAAGGGTCAATTCGAAAGAGGGACATACGATCACTAAAGCAACGTTAGGACGTCTTAGTGGTAACCCTAATGTCTTAGATCATTTATCCGAGGCAACAATATCCGAGGCAACCTTTCCGAGGCAACTATGATCTTTTGGACAAGAGGGCGACCTCTAAAACAACCTATACTCAATGACCGTTTATGAAGGCAACCAAGTGGGAGTGTACCCTAGGAGTGCGCATGTGCGAGTGTGTTGATTTCAGTTATTTTTATCTTTGCACATGTTAAGGGTGATCTAACTGTTTTTTAAATTAGAAATTCATTCTTGTCATGCAAGCCCTATTATCAAATATCTAACAGTTGTATAATTTTCAGAATTTAAAATGCGGAATTTAAACTAAATTATTACAAGGCGTCGGGTATTTACATTGCCAAAAGCAACCCTTTTAAATTAAAAAAAAGCAGAAAAATAAATGTCCTAATTATTTATTACAAACCGGGAGCAGATACGATATTGGATAAAGAAAAATAAAGCGCGCGATGCGAAATTAAATCGAATGCGAAATTAGGGTTTTGACCCTTTTAATTAAAGAAAATGTTTTTTTTTGTTTTTATTTTTAAGAAAAGAAATTAAATCCTAAAAATTAAATGCTAAATTAATTATTAAATAAATTAATAAATGAAAAATAATTAATGACATATTTTTGGAGTTTTGTTATTTTACGAAAGAAAACAAAATAATTAAATTAATGTTAAAACCTAATTATTCTAATTGATTTTTAATTATTTACAAAATAAATGAAAGTTATCTAAAAATTAATATCCTAATTAATTAATTAATATTTATTAATAAAAAATAAAATTCTGAAATTTAATTGGGTAAAAAATATTTTTGTGATTTTTTTGATAAAAAGAAATTATTCTATTGGTTAGTAATTAATTAAAAATAATTAAATGTAATTAAATAAAATGTAGAAAATAAAATAAAAAAGGGAAGAGATTGGGCCTGATTAGAGGGTTTGAATAGCAATTTTTCTGGCCCATTGACATGCAGTCCGTTTGACTTTTCTGATCTAGTGTATGTGCGTTGACCTGCCTATGGTGTGCATTCAATGCTTGGCCACCAGATCTGGCCATCTGGCCATCTGACACATTGACGAGGAAGGCATATGGTAGACATCAAGTTCCTGCATGCATATGATTATCTGAAAGAAAATATTATAGAGAAAAACATGGGGACCTGGGATTCGAACCCAGGCCCCAAGGGGAACTTCCTGCCACGCCTACCACTGAAGCACTTGTTTTCATTTGTTAATATAATGCAAATAAATGATAATATAAGAAAACAAATTTTATTGGGTAATTATCAGAAAAACGCGCCAATATTTGAATGGGCGAGTGATGGCGTGACAACGCATCATCCCTGTCCTCTACACCGTGGCTAAAAGCAACAACACCTATACTTACGGAAAAATGTCCGTCGCTACAGACAAGGGTTCCTCCCAAATCTCCTACAGGCCATGAAAATGGATTTTAAGACCATGGTTGAGGTCGTCTCATCCTCCTGATTGCAACCATGGCCATTATTAGGGCCAATTTTTCCTGAAACAAAAAGCCCTAAAAACAAACACAAAACCCTAGCAATGGTGATCCATGATATTGGTCAGATAAATGAAATCGAGTGATACCAAAAGCTTGTAAATGATGTGTAGATTAAGAATATGTCATCAATACATATTAACAATGCCTAATTTTCAAAATACGAAATCAAAAACATGGCGGCTTCGTGAATGACTTACAGTGCGTGGGAGGGTCTGAAAGCGTGTGCTTGTGGTTGCTTTAGATTTCTGAGATTGTCAAGAAGAGATTGAAACAAGTGCCAAGCCTTGAGAATGCCTCTAAGCCCTGTTTCGATCTCACACTTTTTTGGTATTTTTTCAGATTTTGTTTGCTCTCTATGCTTGATCTCCAACTCTAATTTTTATCTCCCTCGCCTCCTTATGTATTGCACAATGTATTAGGATTATTTTTGCTGTCCAAATCTTATTCTTTCAATGACTTTGAATATTGATTTGATTCCCTTTAACAACCTTCCAAATTTGGTCCAAATCCCATCTTTTTGTACACTTATGCCTTGATACGAGTTTGATGATGGCAAGCTGTATAATGAAACCTGAAATCACCACAAAATCTTTGTTATCAATGCTTTTGGATTTTTATTCGATTTATTTTCATTTAAATAAAATGAATTCAAATAAAATCAAAATAATTAATAAAAATATCTACCCCTGTTCAATCTTCTTAAACCTGAGGATGTAGATTGGCTTTCGTGCCTTTTGTAATCCGAAGGTGGAAGAGGATTGAACACTAGAGTGCCCAGAAATTTGCACTCGCATGCAGTGGTAGTTGTCTTGTGATGTCGGGAATTGGATTACAGATGCCATTCGGAGATTGCTGATGGGAGATGGGCTTAAAGATGCCATCCGAAGAAGTGTCGATCGCATAAGAGATTCCTTAGTGAGAGCTTGTATACCTGTCATTGCGGAAGATTCCGCTGGGGAAGTCTGATCTTTGCTGAGAGAAGTAGAAAGTTAGGAGCTCCGGCGTCTGTTATTATGCTGATGAGTCGTCTCTGTCGATATTTAGGAACTTCGATCATCCGTACTCAACTGAGGAAATATTTTTGCTGAGATTTAGGAACTCGCCCGTAATTCAACTTCTTCATCGAGATTTAGGAACTTGCCCGTAATTCAACTTCTTCGTTGAGATTTAGGAACTTGCCCGTAATTCAACTTCTTTGCTGAGATTTAGGAACTTGCCCGTAATTCAACTTCTTCGTCGAGATTTAGGGACTTGCCCGTAATTCAACTTCTTTGTTGAGATTTAGGAACTTGCCCATAATTCAACTTCTTCGTCGAGATTTAGGAACTTGCCCGTAATTCAACTGAGAAAAACATCTCTGCTGAGATTTAGGAACTTGCCCGTAATTCAACTGGGGGGAAACATCTTCGTCGAGATTTAAGAACTCGCCCGTAATTCAACTGATAAAACTTCTCTGCTGAGATTTACGAACTTGTCTGTAATTCAACGGAGGAACATCTTTGTCGAGATTTAGGAACTTTCCCGTACTTCAACTGAGAAAAACATCTCTGCTGAGATTTAGGAACTCGTCCGTAATTCAACTGGGGGAAAACATCTTCATCGAGATTTAAGAACTCGGCCGTAATTCAACTGAGAAAACTTCTCTGCTGAGATTTAGGAACTTTCATGTAATTCAATGGAGTAACATCTTTGTCGAGATTTAGGAACTTTCCCGTACTTCAACTGAGAAAAACATCTCTGCTGAGATTTAGGAACTCGTCCGTAATTCAACTGGGGGGAAACATCTTCGTCGAGATTTAAGAACTCGCCCGTAATTCAACTGAGAAAACTTCTCTACTGATATTTAGGAACTTGCCTGTAATTCAACGGAGGAACATCTTTGTCGAGATTTAGGAACTTGCCCGTACTTCAACCGAGAAAACATCTCTGCTGAGATTTAGGAACTTGTCCGTAATTCAACTAGGGAAACATCTTCGTCGAGATTTAAGAACTCGCCCGTAATTCAACTGAGAAAACTTCTCTGCTGAGTGTTGTACCCCAAAATTTTCCCTCCTATATTTATCAAAAACATTGCAAGAAAAATCTCCAAGTTGCTCAAGGTAGTCCAATGGTTGATCATACAAGCTCTCTCCTAAGGCAGTCTACCCCAAATTAGGGTTTTGCATTGCATCAAGATCCTTGAGTACAAATTACATAAAGTGCTCCACAATGTCCTAATATGTTCTCAAGGTCATCCATGTCAAATTTCAAGCCCTGCAGAGGAAGTTTGCTCAGTCAATTGCTTAAAAGTCCAAAAATCGATTGTGCTAGGGCAAAAGTCAACTGTGACCCAAATACAGTCAAACTTCAAGATTTTTTGTACACATTCTCAAATTTAAGTATGTTTAATCATTTGATAAAGGGTTGATCATGATTCATCAAGGATTGCTCAAAATTCATCAAGATTCAAAAGTTGCTAAATTAGGGTTTTGTAGGAAAAGTCAACCCAACTTTGACCAAGCATAACTTTCTCATACTTTATGAGAAATGACCCATCCAAATCTCATTTTGAATAGGATGAAATTCCCTACAATCCATATTCATATCCCAAAATGAAAAAATGCACTCACAAGAAGTTATGAATTTGGACATTATAGGTCATTTTTGAAAGTCAACAAAACACCTTTTTTGTAAAAGCTTATAACTTGATAATGGAATATCAAAATGAGATTGGACTAAAAGGGTTTATTATAGGACATCTCAAACTTTCTAAAAAATCCAAGAACATCTCCAAAAGTTCAAAATTGAAGAAGTTATGCATTGTTGAAGTTGGACTTTTTTGCAAAATTGCCAAAAGTCAACTATCCCAAAAACTTCAAATTTTGCCAAATGGGCCCATTCTTTTTCACTTGATTTGAGTTTGCATTATTTCCCACATGCCCTAGCTCCAGCCATGTGTCCATATCACATTTTTATTATTTAATTTAATTTTTATTTGAATTAATTTATTTTAAATCAAATAAAATCATATAAAATCTAAAGCTTTGATAACACATGATTTTTTGGCTATTTCAGGCTCCAAATACAACTATTATTATCATCAAATTTGTATCAAATCAAATGTGTGCAAAAAAGATTGAAATCAAGCAAGTTTGGAAAGTTTTAATGGAGGAATCAAATCAAATTCATGAGCATTGATAGGGCAAGATTTGGACCAAGTTTGTGACCATAATACAATGTACAATACATAAGCAAGCCAAGGACACAAAAATCAGGGTTGGCAATCACTTGTAGAGGCATAACAACTTTGTAAAAAATCACAAAAAAGTGGGAGATCGAAATCAACCCTAGAGGCATTTTCAGAGCTTCATATTGGTCCCAATCGATTCCTGGTAACACACACAAGCTATCCCAATCAAAACCAGGAAGTCTCAGGCCCTTATACGCACTGTAAGTCCTTCGTAAAATCGTCCTGTTCTTGTTTTCGATTCGCATGATTCTGGCATCCATTGAGTGAAATAATTGTATATTTATGATCACAAGAACATTTGCAGGCTTTTGGCATCATTTAATTTCATTTATCTGATCTGTATTGCAATCCACCATATTTAGGGTTTGCTTGGAATTTTTGGGAGTTTTTGTTTCAGGTAAAATTGAGACACATGATGGACATGGTTGTATCCATAAGGATGAGACGAACATGACCATGTCCTTATAAATCATTTTCATGGCCTGGAGGGGATTTTAGAACAAGGATGCGCTTTTAGCCGCGGATACAAATCCGCAGGTAAATTTATAGTGTTTAAGAGGACAGGGACGATGAGGTGTCCTCCGTCTATTGGACTATTCAAAAGTTGCGCGCGTTTTTTTTTGTTTTCTGGCCATTGACTTGTTTTTTTTTTATATTATTATTTCTTTGTATTATTAATAACAAAATAACAACATGCTTCAGTGGTTTCCACATAGGCCATAAAGGACCCAAAGGTTGGAGGTCAGGGGTTCGAGCCCTGCCTCCAGCAATTTGTGTTTTCTCATTATTTTTCAGGTTATCACATGCGCGCATGGGCCAGATCCATACCATACTCCCTCATCAATCCACACGCCAGATGGCCAGATGGCCAGATCTGGTGGTCAAGCCTTGAGGGTGCATGATAGTGCTAGTTAACGCGTGTGTACCAAATCCTAAAGGGTCAAACGAGCCAGCACTATTGGGCCTACAAAAATGACTTTCAGCACCTCCAAAAAAAAGGCCCATCTCTTTCTTTTCATTATATTTTCTCTTTTTAATGTAGTTATTTTATTTAATTTCAATTAATTACTAACCAATCTTTTTTTCCTTTTATCAAATAAAATCACAAAAATACTTTTTTTTATCCAATCAAATTTTAAACAGATAAACTCTGCTTGGGGAGAATATTACCGATTCATTCACAGTTGCGTCTCAGCTGGGGAGAGTTAACATTACTGTCTTTTTCTTACTCTGCGGGGAGTGAATGTACCTTAGCCCTATTCTTCAGCTGAATCTACCTTTGTACCTGGTGGATAGAGCAACTGTAAAGCTTAGAAAAATCTTATTTGCCCCTGTTTCTGATATTACAAGTAATCGTCTTTTGTTTCGCATGTAAATATTCATGAGCAGCAATTAATTTCAAATGCATATATCAAAAATGAACATTGGACGTTCTTTTCAAAACAAAACAGAAAAAGGAAAAACAGTTTGAAATTTCTCTAAAAATGAATTGTATTGATTTTGAAGTTTGGCCTGTAAATAGGCGTTTTTGTACAAGAGGCTGACGTCCTTGTAAGAGAACGCCGCCGAACAATAGAATTTATACAGTTTGTGTAAAAAGAAAGAAAAACAGCTATGTGAACAATTCCACTGAGTTCCAACTCTGCTATTGCCTTTATATCCTCGAGCATCTCATCACTTTGCTACTTGGTTGAAGGTAGATCAGATTGATTAGTGCTGTCTGAGCTTGATAGTCGATACCGAAGTCTGGTTGCAAGGCGATTCAATGAGACATAGCGTTACGCTTTAATCCCTAATTTTTGCCTGGACCGCCCTTTTGGGTTTTCAGTCCACCGGGATACCCTTTTTTGCCCAAGCCGCCTTTTTAGGTTTTCTACTTGCCGGGTGTACAGATTTTTTTCTTTATTTTCATCCCTTATTTTTGCCCGAACCCTTTTGGTTCGCCGGGAAGCCCTTATTTTTTCCTAGGCCAATCGACCTAGCGGGTCGTTGATTATGCGTAGTATTTTTTCACTATGTCTGTATTGACGGGGTGAGGAAGGTCATCACCATCCATGGTTGTTAGAATCATATATCCTCCTGAGAAAATGTTCTTAACCACAAATGGCCCTTCGTAAGTAGGGGTCCATTTGCCCCCGGGATCACCTTGAGGTAAGATGATGCGCTTGGTCACTAGATCCCCAACTTGATACTCTTGTCGTCTAACTTTCTTGTTAAATGCCTTGATTATTCTCTTTTGATACGTTTGACCATGACAAATAGCAGTAAGTCTCTTTTCGTCGATTAAGTTCAACTGATCAAGCCGGGTCTGGATCCAGTCATCTTCGCTCAAACCTGCATCCTTCATAATCCGAAGAAAGGGTATCTGAACTTCAATGGGCAAGGCTGCCTCCATGCCATAAACCAAGGAATAGGGTGTTACCCCTGTTGACGTCTGTGCTGAGGTACAGTATCCATGAAGAGCAAATGGTAACATCTCGTGCCAATCTTTTTATGTCACCGTCATCTTCTACACAATCTTCTTAATGTTCTTATTAGCCGCTTCTATAACCCCATTCATCTTCGGCCGGTAAGGAGAAGAGTTATGATGTTGTATCTTGAACTGTTTGCAGAGTTCGATGATCATCTTATTATTGATATTTGTACCATTATCCGTAATGATCCTCTCCGGTACACCATATCGGCAGATCAGATTGTGCCGGATGAACCGTGCCACGACGTTCTTGGTTACGGTGGCAAAGGAAGCTGCTTCAACCCATTTCGTAAAGTAATCAATAGCTATCAGGATGAAATGATGCCCGTTGGACGCTGTAGGTCTGATCTCGCCGATCATATCAATGCCCCATATTGCAAAAGGCCACGGAGCTGTCAAGACGTTCAGAGGAACTTGAGGTATATGCACTTTATCAGCATAGACTTGGAACTTGTGACAGGTCCGAGAATGCTGATAACAGTCGACTTCCATTGTAGACCAATAATATCCTGCCCATAGGATTTTCTTTGCCATGGTGTGCCCACTGGAATGAGTTCCGAAAGTACCTTCATGTAAATCTACCATAATCCTTTCGGCCTCGTTCTTATCCACACAACGCAGTAAGGTTGAATCATGGTTACACTTGTAAAGGATGTCATTACTGATGAAGAATTTCGCCGGGAACCTCCTCAGAAACTTCTTATCATTAACAGATGCACCCTCGGGGTACTCCTGAGCCTCAAGATACCTCTTTACTTCATGAAACCAGGGTTTATCTGCTATCTCTTCAGTCTCAATGTCACAACAATGTGCAGGTTCGTCCAACCTTTCAATGGTAATCCGGGGAGCCTCATTGTCCCAATTGACTTTGAACATATAAGACATCGTAGCTAACGCGTCCGCTAACTGATTCTCCTCTCTAGGGAAGTGTTCAAAGGTTATCTCTTCGAAATGTGGAAGCAGCGTCAATACATACTCCTTGTATGGAATAAGATTTGGGTGTTTCGTATCCCACTCGCCTTTGATATGACTGATCACGAGAGCGGAATCTCCGAACACACTCAAGAACTTAATCCTTAGGTCAATTGCTGCTCGAAGACCCATGATGCACGCTTCATACTCCGCCATATTGTTGGTGCAGTTGAAACATAGTCGGGCGGTAAACGGAGTATAAGAGCCTTTAGGAGATATGATCACGGCGCCAATGCCATTACCCAAAGTGTTTGAAGCTCCATCAAAGTACATAGACCATCGGGATCCTTCCTCAGGTCCTTCATCTAGTCCAGGTTCTTCACAGTCGATTACTATCATGATATTCTCATCCGAAAACTCGAAGTTCATAGACTGGTAATCATCCACTGCCTGATGTGCCAAATGATCCGCCAACACACTTCCATTGATTGCCTTTTGGGTCGTGTACTGGATGTCATACTCAGTCAAGATCATCTGCCATCTTGCTACTCTTCCAGACAAGGCAGGCTTCTCGAAGATATACTTGATTGGATCCATCTTTGACATCAATGGAGTAGTGTGAGTCATCATATACTGTCTCAGCCGGCGAGCAGCCCATGGCAAAGTGCAACAAGTTTTCTTGAGCAGTGAGTATCGGGTCTCACAGTCGGTAAACTTTTTGCTAAGGTAATAAGTAGCATGCTCTTTTCGGCCAGACTCGTCATGCTGCCCCAGCATGCACCCCATTGAGTTGTCGAGTACTATCAAGTATAAGATCAGAGGTCTCCCTTCAACTGGAGGCATCAGAATGGGTGGCTCTTGGAGATATTCTTTGATTCTTTCGAAAGCGGCATGACATTCATCATTCCATCTTACCACTTGATCTTTCTTCAGTAGCTTGAAGATTGGCTCACAAGTAGCAGTCAGGTGTGAGATGAATCGAGCAATGTAGTTCAGACGTCCCAGAAAGCCTCTGACTTCTTTTTCTGCTCGGGGAGCTGGCATCTCCTGTATAGCCTTCACCTTTGCAGGATCCACCTGAATACCTTTATCACTTACGACGAAACCCAGCAGCTTACCAGACCTCACCCCGAAGGTGCATTTGTTTGGGTTTAACCTTAGCTTGTACAACTTTAACTTGTCAAATAGCTTCTGAAGATGGTCAAGATGTTCTTCTTCAGTCAGGGATCTTGCAATCATGTCGTCGACGTATACCTCAATCTCATGATGGATCATGTCATGGAACAAAGTGACCATGGCGCGCTGATATGTTGCCCCAGCATTCTTCAATCCGAAAGGCATGACCTTGTAGCAAAAGGTACCCCATTGAGTAACAAAGGTTGTCTTCTCCATTTCTCCGGGAGCCATTTTAATCTGATTGTAACCGTAGAAACCATCCATAAATGAGAAGACCTTATGCTGTGCGGTGTTGTCAACCAGAACATCGATATGAGGTAGAGGGAAATCATCCTTGGGGCTTGCCCTGTTTAGATCCCTATAATCAACACACATTCGAAATTTACCATCCTTCTTCGGCACTAGAACCACGTTGGCCACCCACTGTGGGTAAGAAGTAACTGCTAGAAAAACGGCATCAAACTGTTTCATCACCTCAACCTTGATTTTCTCAGACATCTCTGGGCGCATTCGACTAACTTTCTGTTTCACTGGAGGACAGTCTTCCTTGGTAGGCAGGAGGTGAACTACAATATCGGTATCCAACCCAGGCATATCTTCATAAGACCAAGCAAATATCTCAACGTAGTCACACAACATCTGAATCAACCGTTGCTTAACATTAGGCTCCAGATTTGCACTGATCTTGACCTCTTTCTT